CCAACAAATGGTGTATCGGATTCAAAATCGCAATAAGTAGTGTAAGGACTGCCTAAGCTATCGAATAGATTATAAAATCCATTCTCGTTAGCTTGAAGATACTCTTTGACTTCATAACAAGATTTAGCGCGATGCTTGATAACCACCTATCAACAGTAAAATATGATTTTAATACTAGTCCTATTAGTAGAAATAGTAATTTGCTAAAAATGTTACTGTAATCATGAAGCATAGCAACAGCAAAGAAAAGAGTTTCTTCATTAAGTATGTAGCTAGAATATACCGAAGAAAATCCATTGGGTACAATAGCAGCTAGGATAACAACAAATGCGATCAATCTGGACATTTTTCTAGCTAAAGGTAGAAAATAGAAAAGAAGACAAGCAGTAAAATATTGAATAGTATTCGAATTCGAACTGCAGTTCACACACTCTCTACAATTCAAACTGGAAAATATGAACAATTGGGCGCGATGCAGTTATATATATTGCAGGATTAAAAATGTCTATATCTAATGTTATTGTTATACATAAACCTCAACACATCATAGACCGGGTATCAAGCTGATGGCGGTAATTAACTATCGCTTTACGTCTGATCTTACATCAGCCTCTCTTTGATGCCCAAACATATTTTGTAATAATTAATTACAATGTAAGCTACTAAATTCGAGATTGATTTAGATTATATTATTCACTTTCCTCTCTCTCTAAATGTAATTGAATAGACTAGAAAAAATTCTTCATCACCAGCTGTAACCTTTATTCTACTCGAGTAAACTTGTTAAAGTAAAGATTCTTTCGTGTATATAACGGGATAACCGTATGCTGAATTATAAAGCGAACAATGAAGTGAGAGTTTTTTTAATTTTATCAGTTATCAAAATACGAACTACATTAGCATCAAGTAAAAAAAACTTAGTATGGCGTACTGTATTGGCATATAGAAATGCAATGCTGAGGTACAAATTATCATATTTTCTACAAAGTAATTTAAAGCAGAATATCTACGTGATAAAATTAAGTAAAATAGTAGATAAAACTATCGCTAATTGATTATGGCTATTTTTATTTGATATCCAGTTAAGATATTAACACCATGGCCACATTTTATACATCTTATTAAGGAAATCATTTCGATTAATATTGACATATGAAATAGAAAGTATTATAGTAGATAATGCGTACATAAAGTTTTTAGCAGACAGTAGTTGCTAATAAGACAACTCAGGTACTGTATGAACTACTTGTAATAAGTGCTTAATTAGGGCCACGACCGACAGCCTCGATGCTATCTTCTAGTAATTATGTACTACAATGTCATATCGTTAGTAAGATTCGCATTTTCGCCAGTTCTTGCATATTAGGCCTTAATCTGCTTTGCAAATAGTACTGGTCAAAGACCATTTAGAATAGTAAAATAAGAGCCTTAAATATAGTAGCATATAGACTATTACGCTTATCCAAAGGCTAATCATATAAGAGTAAAGATAAATACAGTACGATGGTAAACTACTTTTACTGGACAAAACCACCTTTAAGGAACTATTACTAAGCATAGTATTGATACTAACTTGTTTCTAACTGTATCAACTAATGATTATAAAAAGTATGCTGTAGGATTGACTATAAGCTATTTCAGCGGTTGTTTATTATTAATACGTGATCACTGCAGATTATAACAGATTGTGTGCCAAGGCTATCTTGAAAACGGAGTATCGTTTACACGGAATAGAACAAATTACAACATCAGAATTAGCAGTTTCATTGGTTATAATAGTTAGCTCCTTACTCGATGAAGTAAAAATTTCAATTCCTTCAACAGCTGCTTAGCTGCTTTTTACTTGCCAAATATTAAGACGGCTTCTATTTTTATAACAATCAACATAAGAAATAAGCCTCAGTTTCATGTAGCCATTGCAAGAAAAATGAACATTTCATTAGAATACTAGTATAAAATTGTTGTAATGGTAATTTATTAAATTTCTTAATCAATTATCATTTGATGATATAATTAATTGAACGATTACAACCATTACTGTATATATTGAGCGGTAAGCTCAAAGGCTGATATAAAATAAAATTTATAAGTTCCTTTGAAAAACTGTCCTACATAGGTTGTCTTATTTAAATGATTACAATAAATTTAGTAGCCTTGGCGAGACATGTTTAGTTCCAGCCTCGTTATGAAATCAGATCTTACCTACTATTGATTATTTCCATTAGCAAAGTAAAGGATCTTGATGGATTTATTGACGAATATGAATAGAGTTTGGCTTTATGATTTACTTGCCGCTTAAAGTAGATTTGATTGATTGAACTATTTTGTTAGCTATGCTCACGTTCGTAGATGGTAGATGCGATTCTAATATTAATTAATTAATCAATAATCTCTTGTAATTCAGTTTCCGATTGCAGTAGATCTTATTAAGAACTTCTACCGCATTATCTCCACCTTTTCGATAGCAGAATGTGATTCTATTATTGACTGAACTTTCGTGATTCAATTTTCGATTGAAGTAAATCGGATGAACGATATTGCCTCCAGATTGATTATACTGTACTTTATGCTGTATAAGCTTATATCTGATTCTATTATTATTATTCCATAACCAGTCAATACAAATGACGATTTATGGCAGACTGAGAGAGAGTTGAAGATACTCTGCTATTGATGTTGTTATTGTAGAGCTGTTGTGATTTGGTTACCAATATTGGTTAGCAGAAATTAAGTTTAAAGCATTCAATTGATAAGGTTAAAATTAATGCAATACTAGGAATTCTCTAAGTCCATGAGTGATCCATCGTTGATCGATTTTAAGTTTACATGATTTTGTTAGAAACTGCTAGTAACATTCATAAAAAATTAAACACGAATCGATAAACCTAAAAAATTTTATTACATTCCTATTGGATAACATTGAGTATACAGCTAATATTTCGCCAATAATTAATAACAGCAATACGCTATTAAAAATAGGGCTGCCATTATTATACCGTTAATTTTAATCTATTTGGAAAATAACAACAGTTATAATAGCTATCTGCTGTCCAGAATCCACAAAAAAACTGAAATGATGCTTCTTATTTTAACCTAATGGTTACATGATAGTACTAACAAAATACATTATCTATAGTATTCGGTAGAGATGTTGTAAAATACGAAATAACCCTTGAAATACGAGATCCAATTTTTACTCGGCATATGCCCCACCTATCCACCAAGCAGTAGTTGAATTTTTGTTGGCAGTACAAGAAAATGTTGGATTATGAGAGTTATAGTAGCCAAACACGTCTTCATTGGCTACAAAATTAGTAAAGCCAAATCTACTACAAGTAGTTGTTGCGGCACTAAGATCGATATGAAGATGATGTGAACTAGAAGCATAAAATGGCATCTGGCACTTTCTACATGATTGCCCTCTGATATTGATATAATCTACCTCTACACAGCCACCGTTTATATTACTGAGAGTAGAAGCACCTCTACATGCCGAGAATCTTATATAGTCGCGACGATTAGCTAGACCAGTTCCTTCAATGATATTGAAATTGCATGTTGAACGATAATGTGTGGATCCATAAGAAGATAAAACAGAAGACATATGATGGGATGGAAGGCGAAAGAGAGACATAGAGGTATGACATTCGCCTAATGGGATATTGACACTGAAGCCCTTATTATGTTGTGCTTTTTGAGCATTTTCGAGAGTCATAGATTCAATTAATGTCCAAGCGAAAGGCGGTTCTGATTCGAAATCGCAAAAACTTCGGAACGGGTTACCGTTAGCATCATAAAGAGTGAAAAAGCCATTTTCAGTAGCTTTAAGGAATTGTTTAACTTCATAGCATGATTTAGGTTTGTGATGTGTCTACAGAAGCAAATGGCATTATTTTTATTACAGATCGAAATCAAGGGAATTACAATAACTAAGGGTATACAAGTATATCCGATCTAAACTTGAGCTATTAGACTTACATTTGGCATGACAAGTGGTAAGAGAGCCACAATTGCAAAGAGAGACCAGATTTTGACCATCTTGAATTAGATAAGAAAGGAAATTTGTGTAACGCTACTTGCATAAAAATGATGCGGTTGTATTCAAGATTGTGTGAGGAGAATGTAAGCTTAATTTCAATCGTGAGCGGTTTTATACTAAGAGTATTATTCTACTATTACAAGGCTCACTTGTGGACTACAAATACCTGCTGAGTTAATTAGAAGACTGCGGGGTCAAATTTCTATTTTCATTCCCTGTTCTAACTTGATATACAATGACTATTATATAAAATAGAATTAAAATTTTCTTCAGCCTAGCCTCACCAAATGATATCTGCCTCAATTTGATGGATATTAATTAAGCTAGTATGAAGCAGGTTCCCTCTTCTAAGTTTACAATTTATACCAAATACTATTTCAAGTATTTACTATTCCCTAAGTAAGCAAACAACATTGCCAATAATGCCAATTGCATGTGGCATTTTACATTTTTACACTGTTTACCCTTTAACTTTATGCGGATGTAAAAACTAATATAGAAAGATTGAACTTTGCCCAAGGTTGGATATTAAGTATAATCTGTCATTGTTGTATTATTAGTACTGTGATCGCATTATTCTCTGCTGTTTTCTCAGTGCTCGTATACAAGCGTTCACGATTGTTAAATTGAAGTTTCTCTCCGGAGATTACAAGTCCTACATCGCCAAGCAATAACTTAGGATCTACAGATATTGCGTCATTCGTAGCTTAAATTGTGTTTAGTGTTGTATGTAGTGAAATAAATTATTAGTTAACTGAGAGTTACTAAATTTATTTATTATTTAGTAGAGCATATATCTCAGCTAGCTAGTAATCAGTGTACCTTGTGAGCTACCCCTGCTCCGTCAAAATAAACTGAGCGGTAACAATCGCCACAATTTTCAAGAATTATGACCTTTAATTAATCATGCTGAAAGCTTGTTATTACTATAATTCATTTACTGTACGCCATTAATATTCCTAAGCTATCAAATAGACTATAAAATCTATTTTCGGTAGCTTGAAGATACTCTTTGATTTCTTAACAAGATTTAGCGTGATGTTTGATAAACTGCTAACAGTAAAATATGATTTTAATATTAATTTTATTAGTAGAATAAGAATTTGTTAAGAATGTTACTATAGATAGCATAGCAATAACAGTAAAAGGAATCTATCCATGAAGTAAGTAGCTAGAATATACCCGATAAAAATCCATCGGGTAGCTAAAGATGAACTTAAGAAAAGATGACATGCAATAAAATATTAAACAGCATTCGAATTCGAACTGCAATTCCCATACACTCTCTTTAATCTAAACTGAACAATATCGATAATTGGATGCCATACACTTATTTATACAGCAGGATTACAGAAGTCTATATCTAATGTTATTGTTATACATCAGAAGTTGAGGGCGGTAATTAATTATCAATTTAGGTCTGATCTTATACTAGCCTCTCTTTCATGCCCAAATTGTTTTTTGCAGTAATTAATTATAATATAAGCTACTAAATTTGAGATTCAGATTACATTCATTATTTTCTTTTCTCTCTAAATATAATTGAATAGACTATGCATGCTGAGTTATCAAGCGAACAATGAAGTAATATTTATTTCTAAAGTTATCATCGGCTATTATCAATATACCGGACTATATCAGCAGCAAGTACACAAAAACTTTGCATAATGTATAGATATAATCGATAGCGCAATGCTTAGGTATAGCTTTTCATATTTTTTAGAGAGTAATTTATAGCATAACTTCTTCGTAATAAGATTGATAAAAATAATAGATAAAATAATAGAATGCAGCCTTCGCATGTCTATGTAAGTACGGCTAATTTATAGTTGTGATGAAATTTCATTGTAAATGAACGAAAAATCATAATAGCTGACCACCGTTGCTTAATCATTTTTTGTCCAATTTTTTTTGATATCTAGTTAGATATTCATAAAACAGCTGTATACAGTACATCTTATTTAGGTGATCATTTCGATTAATATTGACCTACGGAATAAAAGATATTGTAGTAGATGATGCATAAATAAAGCGTTTATTAGATAGTTGCTTCTAATAAGATAACTATAGTACTCTTTGGGCTATTTGTATGAAGTGTTTAAGGCTAACTAAGGTTATGACCAATAGCCTCGAATTATTCCTATTTGAATAATCACGATGGCTGCAATGCGGAATATGCTTAATTCCGAGCTCATTTTAAAATTTGAATCTTGCCTACTAATTACCGTTTTCACTGACATAGTAAAAAGATCTTGATGACTTTATTGATTAAGATGAAAATGATTCTGTTGAATGATTCACTGTTCAAATGAGAATAAATCCGATTGATGTGCTGTTGTTTACAGTATACTGTCATTTTTATAGATAGTAGTTGTGGTTCTATTATAATCTGGTATAATTTTATAAACTTTGATGATTCAATATTTGTTAAAGTAGATCTGATTGATTTTATTAAAATGATTTGTGGTAGATTATATTCTCGGCTTTGTAGTTACTTGAAATTTCTATAATTACGCAATAAAATTTCAAAAATCAAATTACGATTGTATCGATTGTAGTAAGATTCTAATTTTCAAAACCTCGTTGCTTTTGTTAGTTGCATTTATAAAGTGTTAAATACTAGCAGATTGGACCGAAAAACTTTATTAGATTCTTACACGTTTTAAAGCTAATAACAATCTTATATACGAGTATATCGCTAATTCTAATCTACCAGTCCGTAAAATAATTATAATAGTAAAATTTATTTGCTATCCAAGGTAGATAATAAGAACTATATCGATGCTACTTGTTCTGATCTTATAGTTGTGAGAATTTAGTTAGACGATGTAGAAAATTATATTGGTTATGCCATTTCATCATGATACTGTAAAATATGCAATTGTATAAAAGTCGCTGAGGGCGCATTGAATTATAGTGACTAGGTCATATATGTAATTCTTTAAATCAACCGCTATTAAGATCCGTAGTTCAAATAATTATAAGTTGAAGTTTATATCGATTTATTCATGGATGAAATTGAATAGAGATTGGCTTTATGATTTACTTACGGATTGGACTAAATACGATTGATTGGACTATTTCGTTGATTATGCACATGTTTAAATACTGGTAATCAATCTCTAGTGTTAAAATTAAAATTGCATATTGAAGTAAGAATTTGTTAATTATAAGATACCAAATAATGATGCTCATAATTTCAAAAGATATCTTTCTAGATTGCTAATTAATAGCGTTCATGAGATATTTAATTAAATCAAAAATTATAAGACATTACATGCCCTAGAGATGAAAAGCAGTTGTTAGATGTAGTTTGTACATAAGCAATTTATACAAAGGATTTTAATATATTCTGATTTTAATCTATTCGTATGCAATGATTTGTGTCTTTTCTTTACTCAAGCACAAATATAAATGGTATGAAAAATCGATATACCAAAAGTATATCGATGAATACATATTGTCGAAAACACATAAATACAAATTTACTTTTTGGTACATAAGTTACCGGTAATTTTTGCGAATTAAATTAATTGAAGACATCTTCGCTAAATAAAACGAATGCTTGAAATATCAGCTTCTTTTAGTATCGCATATTTGTATCATATAGATTCGTTTGCGTTTGAATTTTAACTTATTTATCTCGATTTAATATGGTTTCCGCGACCGAACGAAGACCACAAGCAAAGAGAGCCTTTACTAGTGCCAACTTTGTAAATGTTTCACCCATTAACTTACAATGTGAATCGAGCATGTCTACACACTGTTGATCAGTATCATTACTGTTGTCTTGAGAAATTTTCTTAATGTTAGTGTTGGTGAAATCTAACTCTCTAGCTAAATTTTTCCAATCAGGACCTACTTTCTTAGAAATGATATTGATATAGGAGCTTGCAGCTACAAATTTACAGTATTAACAATTCATTAAATTTCAATTTACTCTTACATTAAGCTATCCGTAAAGCATTTGTAAATTCATTTAATGCATACTACTAAGCACGATACAGTAATGAAGTTAAAAAACAAATAGCAGCCGGGAGACAAATTACATTTGGGATTAAGCTCAATAATGTAAGTAGAGTAAAAATGGATAATGTTAAATTAGTACGGTCATAAACTTACGCGAATCCGGGCTGACGATGTAAATATCAACTTTTTGACCTTCGATATCATCAATTTGTCTTAGAACTGCATCATTTCTACCATTATCGTCCGTATCTTCTACTATCGCAGTCACAAGGATAAATATAAATGTTTAATAAGAGCAAATATAGGATTGAAGAAATTGTCTAATGGCATGTCTTAAAGGTAAGTTCATTAATTTGGCGGTACAAGGCACATTGAATGCGTTCGAGCGAAAACTAAAATCATTTCTGAGCTAATATAGCCCGATTTTATCAGTGTTGGTACCGTACAGCTGTTTTATTTTAAAATATATGCGGTTGTTTGCTAGCAGTAGAATTTACATTAAGCTTTTTAATTGACGACGTTAAAGTCAATGCGCATATTAAAATGGAAGGGATTGAATCAGTAAACGATAAAGCTAGTATAGCTAGCACTTTAAGTCATCTATACAGAAATGAATTAAACTTTTTAGTCTACAGTGGGCTAGACTAGGAATTTCTTACAGACTTAATATTTATTGATATTATACACGCAAAGAAAATGAGGGGAACTGATGTATAACTCAGTGTAAGAAATTATCGATTTACTAATAAATACGAAAGCAAAATTAGTTCCGTAAATCTAATAGCTCATTTACGTCAAGTACTACAAGAATATAAATCAAAATCCAAGAATTGCGAATTAACTAATGTTTATCAAAATTTATCCAGCAAGGACGCGAATTTATCACTAATTAACTTACCGGATGACATAACCCACTTATGGATAGATCCGCATTCATAAACATCGCTGCAATCGCAAAATATCACATCGGAGCTGCCATCGATAGGATTAGATGCAGGATTAAAGAGATTACAGCTAGGACATTTTATAAAGTAAGAACAATCTGATTTTTCACATCTTGGCATCCTTTCTTTAATCAGGGATGATAGTTTATTCCGAAGAAATTCATATGGCTTCTTCTCATTTATGGATTTTTTCACCTTTGCTTCTATTTGTAGCTGTAATTGTGGTTTATTTGGTACCATTCGATAGCGATATTGGATACCAATATAGGAACTCTCTTTTTTAACTACAATATCATAACAATCTTCTTTCAGCCGATATTTTGCACACTTGTAACGTGGCTCAATCTCTGACTTTTTCCATTCTTTATAGCAAGATACAAGTAAACAAAATAAAATGCCATCAGGAATATAAGGCATTTGTGATGGCTTAAATCCAACGTAAAGCCATCCTGACACTTTAAATCCCTGGCAATCAAATTCTTGGCTATTTGAACGAAATAAATAGGGCACGAAATACTGATCAGGACAACCATCATCTTCTTTACTGACCTTGCAAATAATGTCATAAGATTCCATTAAATCTAATAAAAATTTTCTTTCCTTTTCTTCTACTCCGAGCTTGTCGAATTTGTCATTAATATAGTGTTGCGACATGATTCCTGTATTTCGAGCAACTTCATATTCTGCATTTATTGCTAGTCCTTTACTATCAGGTTTATCTAACTGAATAATTGAACGAAATACATTTAATAGCCATTCAACTTGAGTAACAACTTTTCCTTTGACAGGTTCTTTTTGGCAATAAACGATTTCTCCTAGATCATGAAGATAGAGTAACATTTGATGAATATCTTCAATGCCGTCGCATAATTTGTATTCTTTGGCTAATAGCTCGATTTCTTCAGCTGTCATAATTCTGCTAACACTCTGATTTAACTTTGTATGAAACTTTGCCGCTTCTTCATTAAATCGATCAGGAAATGTATGTAATATAGCTGCCATAATATACCATTTAAGTGGAATTTGAGAGAAACGATCAATGAAGGGTTGATGATTAACAAAGTCCCTTAGAATATTATGTAATTGTCCGCAATTTTTTTGACGCTGCAATCGCGTTTCTTCACTGTTATCCTTGTCATTACAGTTAAATATAATTCCAGATCCATATATATGATCAGCATAAGAAGGAAATTCTCGAAGAATAGTATTTTTAAATATCTCAAATCTTTCTTGACAGGCCTTTTCGTCACCTAATTTATCAGCGTGTGTCCCGACTAAAATAACCATAGGCCAAGCGATATCTTCTAAAATATCATCTATTTCGGCCTTTGTCCTAGCAATACTTTTACTACTACCTATAATTGAAGCAAGCCATTCTTGTAGGGCTTCCAAGTATGTCATTTCAGTATTATTGCCTTCTCGATTAACGACATGATTGTTCATATCTTGAGACATATCTAGGACGAGAAGATAAATGCAATTGTGCGATAGGAATGGTTGATGAGTTATGTGATAAATAGAATGACCAGCAAAGTCCCATAGTTTACCGTAATGGCAGTGATCTATTACTGAAGCTTGATCTGATTCAGAGCTTCCTCGAAAGTAATTCTCAAGAAAATCTAGTGGAATCATGTCTTCATCAGCCGGCATAGCCTGAGGACTGGTCTCGACGAGATTGCTTGCATAAGCAGTACTATCTAATCGAATTAGTGGCGATGGTGTCGAGGATTCAATATCATTCAAGCTGGAATCAGAATATGATTCCTCTTCTCGTATTTGGCGTTTAACAGTTTCGATCGCTGTAATGACTTTTCTAGCTAGAACTGCTTTAAAATCATCAACTGATTTATCATCCATGTTATAAGTGACCAATTTGACAAGTTCTTTTGTAATTACTGCTGCTGTTGTCGCTCCAACTGCTAGAATCAAGCCTTGTCGTATAAAAGCTTGAATAAGACATGATTTTCCAACATTTTGCGGACCGGTTATCATGATCCTAATAAAGTCATTACGACAGGATCCGCATCTTCTAGCTTTAACATAGGCTTCCTTATATTCTTTTTCTTAGGATAAATATGAATATTAAATATGAATAAAGAACGAATAAAATTATTTTATTCATGCTTCATTTTCAATTAACTTTAGCTATAGTATTCTACGAAGTAATCCAATCTGTAAATCTGCACTACAATGCATTTAAAATTATCTCAGTTTGAATCTAAATACATAAGACAACGGTACGAATTAAGGCTGTTGCCAATCCTAACAACTGTACAACCGTATCTATGGCTATTTAACTACTCGATAAAAATAATGACTCTATTGGTGTAACTTAGAATACCTTCGGCAGACTTCGATGCCTTTATATTTTCGTCTTGAGTTTTATCTTCCTGTTCAGCTAATGGCTCTTCTCCTACATTAAATGAATATCGATCTTCAGAGTAACTTACGTCATTTTAATTCAAAAATTATTTATAACTATATTCCTCGAGCTGATACAGTAAAGGCTAGCGATAGTAGCAAAATTCTTTACCTTTAAGAATGCTTTCTATACTGATCCCACAGTATCGTAATGCATTACATAATTCGTTAAGCACCTTATCGTCATGCTGAGGTAGTGTTTCTAATAATGTTTTCATGCTCCTAGAATGGAAGTAGGCTTAGTTTAAGATCTCGCCTTAAAGTGATTTATTTTAGTATCAAATACGGTGTTTCAGTTCACTACTACTTCCAAATAAATAATGTGAAATAATGATAGCAAATATTAAAATGCTAACTCATGGTCATTTGGTTTGGCAAAAATAGCAGATTGTTGAGATGGAGTTAAAATTTCTTTTGATCGCAGATATGAAGTAACCGCAGCGAAATTTTGTAGACAATCTCTGCTTTGTAGTGCGTAAATGTAAATTCGGTTCTGCTTTTGCTCATTAAATGTTTCAGAAGCCTTTTCAGATGGCAATTTAGTATCAGATGTTGCGGCATCTAGACATTGTAGACGATTAATACCATTACTTGCTCGTCAATGAAAGAAATAATGATCGCATGCTCATGGTCATGACTGCTGTATTAACAAGTCTGGCGATTAATAAATTCTCACTGTTGGTGGATACTACACCTTTGTATATGTCATAACTGGAATTCTCTGAATCTACTGTATCTTCTTCGTCTATATATAAAAATAAAATCAAATTTAAACTCTAATGTAAAGATTGAATTTTCTTACCTAGAAAGGGTTCAACGTTCGACCACTAGAACTACGTTTTAAATGCAAAGTACAATCTTAATTAGATTACTAACCTTCAGTATCATCTGTTGCACTAATTCTGGGATCTACATTTTCCAAGTCTATAAATGTTTAGATAAAAGGATAACGTAATAAGTCTAATTAGCATAGGCTTCTAAATATCGATTATCGCATAAATGAACTCTAATTTTCTCAGACTATGTAAGTATTAAAAAATATATTCGCTCCGTCTATTTAATGAAGTTTTGATTTTCAGTGCTTTATAGTTGTAATGGCTTGACTGTGTGTTTGTTCATAACTTTAAAGAGTCTTAATTTTTAAAGTAGTTGTATACCTTGATAAAATTCTTCCTCGTGAATAGATTCATCATCAATCTGATTGCCTAATATTATCAAGAAATCATAAGATGAAACTAACTGAATCAAAGACTCACAATATAGCTACTAAGGTAAGTCAATTTCAGCGGGAGTATACTACAATGCATTACAACCACATTTATCGTACATTAAAATTACCTTCAGAGGATCCACGGCCATCGCCGTAAAAAAGCTTCAATCTAGCTTCTACCAGAGACAAACGATGCAAAATATTAGTTTAGGCTCAAAATCCATAATGAATAAAGACATAAACGTTTGCTAAGGTATTGCATTGCGATTAGTAATTAGAACTGTACCTTTAACACCAGGTTCACTTTTGCTTGTAAGGATTTTGCTTGATGGACTTTCTGATTATAATTATTTAGAGTAGAGAAAGTGAGCGGTGGTAATTCGTATAAGTTTACATACCAGTATAAGAGAAATGCTCATTATACCGTACTTTTGATAATGCTTTTAAATTCTTCTTCATCTGTAGAACTTTCTTGTAGCTTAGCTTTAAATGTCGAAAATTTCGAAAGGGTATTTTAGACTGACAAAATTTATAACAGCAAAAGGTATAAAAAAAATATTGGCAATGAAATCGATTACTACGATACCTTTACTAGAAACGATTTACCAATATTAGAGAAATGTACAGAGTATATTTATAGGTTAAGATGAATTCATGAAATATCAAAAATGCTAGGTACTTGACAATTATAATCAGATGGTTGCTAACTAGGATGAAGTTCTATTTTCCAAAATGATATGATTGCAATTACTCGACTGCATGGTTAACTTTAATTAATCATAATATTAAAGCGGTTGCATACCTTGATGGAACTTTCCGTCTTTAACGGATTTGTTATCCACTAGCATATCTAATAATTATAAATAAATATATTGTCATTAATTGTCCTGTTGGAGGTACTAAATTAGATTAATTTAGCAGGAGCATACTGTGATATTACATAGCCATGTTTATCAAAAAAAGGAAATTACCTCGAGAGGACTGAACTTTAGTATCAAAAGAAAGTTTTATTCTAGCTTCTAATTTAAAAATTGATATGAGTAATAAGCTTTAGCCCATGACATTGATGACAGATAAAGAGAAAACTTTGGTAAGGTATCACCAGTTGTGATTATTACTGTACCTTTAGCGGGAGCTTTTTTCCTGCTATAAAAACTTTCATCTGTTTTATTTCCTAATATTCAAGGAAAAGACAGATAGATAGTCGTAATGAATTGTGCATACAGATTGACAGACTTAAAACAAATTATTGAAAGATACATAGTACTCATTGATTGATTCGTTATGAACAGAAATTGCGTTACAATTTCGAACATAATTGGGCATAATTATATACCACTGAATATCAGACTGAGATAAATATGTAGTTTGATTCTTAAATTATTTGCACTCATTCATAATTCTAAGGTATAATTATTGCTGAAGTAGCAAGATACCATGAAGGAATTCTTGGCCAATGGAAGACTCATCAACAGAGTGATTGCCTAGTAATTAATTATAAGAAATCATCTAGATGAAGTAAACTTAATCAATCTGTTATGATAATTAGCAGTCCCATGATCCAACATAAAGGAAGATTACTTAATGCATCGTATAGTAAAATCACCTTGAGAAAACTTAATTTCTTCATCCAAAGAACTTTCTTGTAACTTGGCTTCGAACACCAAAAAATTAAACAAAAAGTGCATTTTAGACCAACAAAATTCATGACAGCATAAGGCATAGAATATTGGCCATGAAATTGATTACTACCGTACCTTTACTAGAAGCAATTTCTTGATGTGGTAAGCTGTTCTTTGATTTTCTTTCTGATATTCAAAGCGAGAAAGAAAATCAATCTGAATTCATGTTTTAGCTGAGAATACAAATCATCAAACGATGTAATACAGCCTAATATAAGTTACCGATGCCTTGAGGTGTATTCTTTTTCTTCTTTGCCTTACTTTTACGGCCTGATGCTAATTGCCCTATCTTACTTGCAGTTGACCCAATCAATCCTGAGAAAGTGCTACTAGCGGCGACTATTTTTGATTCTACAGCAACGCCAAAAATTTAGTTAGCTGTTAAGTATCTATTTTACTCATATCGTTTCTTTGCGTAACAGAATACTGTTCTAATGCGATAAAGTTTCTTTCTTATAGTTATCAGACGAGCATAATATAAATAATACGTTTAGAAGCTAATATCTTATGATTGATTACTTACAGTCTGAAAATAAAATTAAAATATATCAGACACCATAATGAAAGCCAAACAGTAACGAATACAGGTCAACTGATATCAACCTAATATAAGCTAGTTACTGCTTTTTTAAGAGATTACATGTCTGTATTATGGTTAGTCTCCATCAGCAAGCTATGACTTTGCGTTAAAAAGTAGCATAGTAATATAGTTTGAAGCTAACATTATAATTATGGATATTGAACTTAATTGCACGGTTTGGTATCTTATATTCAAGCTCACAATAAGTTAGCTCCTGTAATAAGATTGGATCTTCGAAGTACTTGCACTATTTTGCTTTCGATATATCAAATGGATAATTCAACGTAGTTTAAACTATTATTTCAATGGTAAAGTCGAGGTGATTACTGCTTTAGCTGACATTTAAATAAATGGTTAGTGGAAAACTTTTCCAGATAGCACAAATAGAGCTGTTATGGAGCCAAGCTCCGAAATAATAAAGGCCTTGTTAATTAAAACATCTCATATAAATCGTTGTTTGTTCCAGTATTCTAATAAACGTTAATGAATACTTATTTATTGATAAGGTTAATGTCTAAGTAATTGAATACTAATACCTAAATGTAAGGTGTAATTTGTGCGGAGCCTTAAGGCTGTAATTAGCTTAAATAAATTTATTATTGTTAATTAGCGTTAACTTATACTGATTTATGTTAACTTCTTCTATTTAAATTCCTATACTATACAGTGTAAGTCGCTATGTCTAAGATACCAATACATGAACCGTCGGCGGAGGCCGAGACTATATAGACTCGAGGACTAAATTAGCTGTTCAGTTCCATTTTAATCATTTTTAGATCCACTTGATCATTATTGCTAGGAATTTCTAACGTACTTTTTAGTAAATTCTTTTACTAGGATTTATCTCAATAAAGTAAAGTCCTTAAACCTATTACCCGTTGGCTACTTATCTGTGTAGTCGAGAGTTAGTTCAACTACGATAAATCGCCTAAGTCAGTTGGAGACACGAGTAATCGTGACACTAGTGTAAGACCCGTTCGAAAAGGGAAATTCGTAACAAAACCCTATAACTTTTTATGAAGTGAATCACCTACAGAAATCCGGACTGATTGATAACGGGACTATTCCTTACATTGAGGTACATCTACAAGTTCTATCAACAGTTTCCTTCATCTATTCAGTTTAGAGTTACTCATTTAAATGACTCCTTCCTTTCAATATAGTGTAGGTAACGGCATAAATCACTGACGTGAAGTACGATATACCTACTAAAGGTAAAATGGCTTCATAACCATCTGAACTTACCTTCATTAGCAGGTTCATTTTGCTTTGCTTCTTGTCGTAACGTTGTACCTAATTCTTTAATCGACTGCATTAAAGATCCTTCTAAGACTTCACAAAATCCATAAAATTCTAAGTCGTTTTTTCTTCTTAAAATTGATATAAAAGATTTCGGTCCTTGATTTTTTATTTTTCTTAACTCCTGATCTGATAGAATGCTTCGATTATGCAAAGTAATGAAAATGTCCAAAGAAGTAATGTTAACTAGGATGTCATGCTTATATTGACGGATAACATCGTTAATATGCCAACTAAGACCCATCTTTGCAATTGAATTTTATTCACCTAGCAGCTATTGCTCCTAAGTCAAAGAAAATGGTAAAGATTGAAGAGTGGCCTTTCTTTATTTCGTCAACAAGCGAAATAATATCAACTGGATCGAAGAAATTCAATTAAATTAATCGGCCTATTGAATTTTAAACATCAGAAGGATGCTAACAGAATAATTACCCATTATTTCAATTGCGAAAGTTACCTGGTGCAATATTCGGTAGAAGCTTCTTCTTACTAATTTCCACAACAATGATCACTTTAAATAGGCATAAAATGATTCCAGATGATTAGAAAATCACTTAAAAGTGAAATAACCTTTAGATGATCTTTTAAACACCCAAAATAAACTGTAAACTGCTTATCTAAATGTAATCCAGACTCTTATGTAATAGGCCTCAACAGGGCGTAGTCGATAGTAATATATTATTATAGCAATTTCCCTCTAGATAGCTGATGTCGATAATCAAAACTAAAACTGGCTTGTGATCTACTTAATGATCTCATTAGAAGGATGTTTATCATTAACAAAATGCTTCTTCTTTTAATTGCCAAAGTTGTTTGATGCCATATACCGTAGAAGCTCGTCTTTACTAGTTGTTGCGGCAATGATACCTTCCCAGGGCAAAAAATGTATATTGATGATAGGAAATGACTTCGAAATAAAATAAATGATATTTAAAAGGGCTTCGAAGAACTGTAAATCGCTTATAAAAGTGCTATCCGAACACTTATCGAATAGAATACAACATGCCGTAATTGAAACTTATATTGCTTTGTAGAAATCTTCCTGCGTGTAGACAGTTCGTATCGATGATCAAAAGTATATTAGACTTGTGATCTACTTGGCGCTCTTCAGTGGTATAGTCACAGTTGCAAGCGAATAGCAACTCTATCGAATAGGATTTCCTGCTTATTGATGGCCTGAAATGGACACATGAACGATCATTATGGCTTTACTACCATAAACGGGAGGCAATCTCTATAGATTTGTATAGCCGGATGAACTGATCATTTATATAAACAAACTAATTTTTATCTGTTCGAGGAGCTAATCATATTGTTATGATTTCTTCGCCATCACGTGATCAGTTTTGCATGATAAAGGAGCTGATCGAACGAGGTAAATTAATTTGCACATTTGCAATGATCGACTGCCATCAATTTATTTATAAATCGATCGATTGGCGCTTTTAAAAGGATCATGCTGCTCCATCTGGTCTCCGCATCTTACTAATTAATTATTGAATGAATGAATCGAATTCAGCTGTATCGCAGTTTCAGGCTTGCATAGGCCTTGCCAAGAACGAAAAAGATTTACAAATTACTTTATTTGGGTATCATTTTGAAAATTTTAGCGATTGTAGATTGCAAATTGTAATTATTTTATTAGCAGTTTTAGTGGCTTGTGTAAAGCTAAAGAAAGGTAAACAGCTACATCCACGTGATGCTAATAGAAATACTGTCTATGCATGAAAATTTTGTACAGGCAGTTGACGTAGGTTTAACTCTCAATAAAAGACTTTTTAAGTAAAGGATCACTACTTTCTAATAGTGGAATGAAATGAGCTAGCTATACATACTAAGAGAGATAGGAGAGACAGCAAAGGTGAGAATGAAACGATGGTGCAAAATGCAACACTTAAATTAGATATAGAGCTCAAACGTTTTAGTTTTAAATAATTGTAAAATAGAAATTGGATAGCTTAGGAAGAGCAAAATCCAGTTTTAGGAGCTTGAACAGCTTGTGAATGGAAAAGAAATAGAAAAAATTTATTGCAGCAGCAGTCAAGATATCTAAATCTTTGCTCATATCAAACCACTTACTTCCTATATCCTCATAATAAAGCTGATAGTAAACTATCTATATATCGGATTTTTGATCAGAGAGCTGATAGAGCATTAATTTTCACTGAAGAATTATTGATATAGAAGATAATTACTTTCCATAAGCGAAATAAAATCAGTTAGATATAAATACGACTAGATGGAATGAGAGAGCGAAGATGGGAATGGAACGTATAACTTAGAATGTCACAATTTAAATTGGATACAGTTTTCAAACGCTGAAATTGATTGTAAATAACTATACTGCATACGCAGTAGCACTCTTTTTCCGGCTTCAAATAATTAATCTGAATTTTTTAATCTCTTTGTAGTCTTGCAATATCGTAAGTTGTAATGTCGTCATCTAATATTATATTTACCGGCGAGGACCGATACTTAATATAGTCTGTATTGTTATATATTATAAGAATAATCTGTAACAAGATTTATTTATATTTTAAAAACAATTGCGTAACAACAATATATTAGATACTAAATAGAATTTACCATTATAATCAAGCAAATTAATCATACTTTGAAAGCTAGAATATTTATCACGATACGAAAACTAAGCTAGAATAATTACAATGTAAAAACTTGCAGGAAAATTCTAAAAATTTACCTTCATTACATGAATGAATCGTATATTTTAGTATTCATGCAACTAAATTGAGGATAAAAGATGATATTTCGTAGCATCATGTATAGCGCACTCGTATATCTTGAAAGTTGAAAATGTTAAACCTGGATATTGTAGACGATTGTCCGAAAACGCAATACTGTACTCGTAAATCCTATTCCACTCTTTTCTTTGTATAGGGTGATCTTTTTTCAATTTTTCAACTATATTTGGTTCTCTGCACTCGCATAAAACTTCTAATATTGTATCAAGCTTTGCTTTTGAGCCGAATTCAGAATACCATGCATCCAACAGATCATTACACTGGCGAAATCTGCCATGGTTTGAATCAACTATTTCATCAATGTTATTCGAAGACAAATGTAACTTTTTACCAAATTCGGTAAACTTTGCTTAATTTATATTATCCGCAATATATCTATATATAGATATATGTAGCACATATATATTTAATGTATCGAATGTGGAATAATAATTGTATGGTTATGGTACACTCGTACGGTTATTGTACGGATATACTTACATTAAAATGAATGTATTACAATACTCAAACACGAATTCGGCGTTATATGGGATTACAATTACTACTCTATTTTCCTACTTGTATACGCTAAAACTACACCAACTTTATCAATTTTTATATGATTGCAGAATTAGATATCAATGATACTACTCATCCTACAAATATTACATATTGTAAGTATCGTTATTTTCGTATATTAAATATAGAATGCGATAATTAAATAGACCATTGCAGGCACTGTATAATTTTTATTATTATTTACTGTATAATTACAATAATACTTGTACGATAATTATATTATTGAACATTTTAAAGAATAAATTATCTGGTTATAATTTTATTATGTCTTTAGAGAAATTAGTTTGATTAATGTGAATAATGGCAGTATTACGTTTAACTTACTGTAATTAAGTTTAATAAATCTATGAATAAAATGATAAAGCATAGACTACAATGAAATCCGTTAGGCTAAACAGCATTGATAAGCTCCTTTATGATATTTATAATATCTTATTAAACACTGCAGAATATGTAAGATGTAGTCCATATGTAAATTAGTATACATTTTATAAAATTTTAATTTAAACGACGAAATAGGTGATCTTCATCCTCCTCAATAACTTTCGTTTCCTAATACAGTGGGACTGGAATATTTGATAATATTGATAACGATAATAATAGGAATATAATATAATATTTTATAGGATTTAGCTATCTATAAGTTTGATCATAAAGTTGACTCTCAGTTCCACTGAGACTAGCGAAGAGTATACTGGTACTAATTTACAATAGCTAATAATATTAACAAAGCTCAATTAACTAAAGCATATTGTTTGACTGGATGCTCTAGTATTGGCTCGTAGACTAATTTCCTTATAGAGTATACCCCGATATTAATCTAAGATTACATAGAGTAGATACACTAGTTTAAGTTCGATCACGAAAGCTGTTTTGTGATAGTCGCAAATAAAGATTAACGTACGAAGTAATACGAAAATTTTAACATTAAAGGAAATAAGCTATTTCTTGACATTGCAATCAGTCGTATAAGTTACTAGCACTATTTAAAGTCTTTGCTTTATTAATAGACGTTTAACTATAGTGTAAGTAGTAGAATTAGCACGTTAAAAGGATAAACCTTAAATGCTAAATATATCAGATACAAAAGTAATAAAAGTCGTCAATTTTCTTCAGCAAAGAAGTAAAATAATAGCTACTTCAATAACATTAGTAGTTACCAACTAAATTGTGTTATCTATTACATAAATTATATTCTGAGTCAAAGAAACTGTTGAAGAACCTCGGTTTTGTACGTTTATGTTGTCTTCACTGCTGCATGATCATTATAAATAACTTTAATCATCAGCTCGAAATTTATGCATCGTATATTTTAGTCTTTATACAATTAAATAGCGGATGCAAGGTAATACTTTGTATCATCAATTGTATCATACTTGTTGTTACACTTTCTAGTTTATCGTAACAATAATTTAATTGTCCAGTAGGGCTTGAGTACTGAACAATCACGAGTCCAATAGAGCTTAAGTACCGAACTAACTTTATTATGCGTTAGGAGCCGTTATATATAAGAGATAATTACCAGTAATGTGCAATAACGGACATACCATGAATGTTAACGACAATCTTATCTTATTCATAATAAGATAACAACTTATTTTTCCTAGATATGCTATCTAGGACTTAATCGTCATCATTACAGAACAACTGCAGAAAGATACTGAATAAACAGGCTTATTCAAAATGATAGATCTTATCGATACTATGTCTACAACAACTGTATTATTTCGTAACACTTGTATATCTTGAAAATTGAAAATAGTGGGCCTGGATATTGTGGATGATTACTCTAAGAGGTAGTAAAATACCCATAGATCCTGTTTCACTCTTATATTTATTCTAAATAATCCTTTTTCAATTGGTCCGCAATTTTTGTCTCTTTGCATCCACGCAAAATTCTAAATATTGTATCAAACTCTGCTGCTGAGCCGAATTCAGAATACCATGCCTCCAACAAACGAAAGCACTTGCTAAATCTGCTAGCATTCGAATCGACTATATCGCTAATGTCATTCGAAGATAAATATAACCTACGACCAAATTCTTCTAACTTAGCTGATTTTATGTTATTGGCGATGGATACGAAGATATCATGCCTTTTAGAATCTAAAGGACATCAAAATATTAAAGCAATCAATAAATTGGGAGGAATTGTTAATTCATTGTCATTGCCTAATTTCCAATTATAGCACATCTATATCTATATATTATTAGGAATACTGAAAATCATAGACAATGAATTATTTTATTTTAGGTAGTCTTAACTTAGTATTGAACAAATGAGTAGATTTTACATTGAAACTAGTTTTAGTATGATAATGACAATTCATTCCTGTTGCGAAACTATGGCAATGGATTAATAGTTTTTAAAACAATGAAATGACTGCGCTACAAAAGTTATACCGTACTTAGTGAGAAAGTATCATCAAGCTGTTACATGTTCTTAAAAGCTATTTGAGACAGCTAGATGACCATTACTGACTTACCATCTTGTATTGGATCCATAGCGTTTTGAGTTGCTGTTCCTCCTTGTTCAATATTTGCAGATTCTTGTGCAACGCGTTTAATATCCACAGATTTGCGTTAATAGAAGCAAGTAACATATAAATAAACATGAAATTATTAAATTTTTTCACATTAAAACTACCGGCTCATTCAAGTTGCTTGATATGAAATTACTGCAGGTTTTGCAACATAATTCTATGCATATATTTTTAACGAACTCTATACTTACTTCTATGAAATTAAAAAAGCGACAAAAAAAACAATCAGGATCAATTTGAAAGATTCTATTAACTTATATAATTTAGAGCTCCTTCTTCCTTTTATAATACTACTTTAAAAGCCTAAATGAGATCTACGTTAAACTATTTATCACTATTCAAACATTTACGATTTTATTGGAATATGAGTGAGGCTCCAATTTCAGACATCAAAACATTATTTTACGGCAAAAAGAAATGAGAAGGATAATAAAATTGTAGCATTTATTCGCTAATAGTTCAAATATTCACTGCTAATAAATTGATTAACATTTAATCTAGTTAAATCGATAAAACGACTAAAAACCCATTTATTTTTACGTACGTAGTTTATGGGTGTCTACCGCTGATTGAGACTAAAACTGATGTAATGTTGATTATTATTCGTTAAATAGACGGTGTCAACTCCAAAACTCATAGATAGATTTCAAGTTTTTTGCTAGTGACTTAGCTGACTAAAGCTAAATTAAATAGAAATATCGGTAGTATCCCAGGTAATATTAAAATGTCCAGCCAAAATCAAGTTATAACCTTTAGGTCAATTTTACTTGCATTTACTGTTATCAGACTTAGCCATGAATATCTAGCAGAATTGGGATAACTTAAAAATTAACCTTATTGGCCGGAATCGTAATGAAAGAAGGAATTGAGATATTAATAGATTCTTAATGAATCAACTCTCAGCTACCCGTCTAGTCAAGAGAAGTAACTTATAATTCATTTTGCTAATATGATATTTTTTAAATTTAGTCTGCAATTAAACATAAAATTTTTATCTTATTTGGCTATACCTAATGATATTGTCCACCCATGGGCAGATTCACATTCATAAATTCCATTGCAATCGCAATAGAGCAGCTTTAAATTATCTTGAACCGGATTCTTTATTTGTAAAAATCTATCGCAAGGAGATAGAGGACATTTTATAAAATATAAGCAATCTGAATTTTGGCATCTTGGCATCCTTTCCTTAATCAATGATTCCAGTTTATTTCTAATAAATATATACGGTGGCTTTTCATATATCAGTTTTTTTACTTTATCCTTTATCTGTCCCTGTAGCCTAGGGTTATTAGGTATTATTCGATAGCGATATTGAATACCAATATAGGAACTCTCTTTTTTAACTATAATGTCACAAAAATCATTTTTCAGGCGATATTTTGCACACTTGGAACGCGGTTCGATACTTGACCCTTTCCATTCTTTATAGCAAGATACAAGTAAGCAAAAGAATATACCATCTGGAATATAATGTAGTTTTGATGACTTAAACCCAACATATAACCATCCCGACGTCATAAATCCTTTGTGATCAAATTCTTGATTATTTGAACGAAATAAATAGGGTACAAAATACTGATCTGGGTGATTATCATCTTTATTACTGATCTTGCAAATCATGTCATAAGATTCCATTAAATCTAATAAAAACTTTTTTTCCTTTTTTTTTACTTCTAGCTGATCGAATTTGCCATAAATATAGTGTTGCGACATAATTCCTTTATTTCGAATTGCTTCATATTCCAAATCCATAGCTAATCCATTACTGTCAGGCTCATCTAGCTGAATAATTGTACGAAATATATTTAATAGCCATTCAACTTGAGTAATGACTTTTCCTTTGACAGGTTCTTTCTGACAATAAACAATTTCTCCTAGATCATGTAGATAGAGTAACATTTGGTGAATATCATCTTTTCCTTCACATAATTTATACTTTTTCGCTAGAAGCTCGACTTCTTCAGCCGTCATAATTCTACTAACACGTTGATTTAAATTTGTAGAAAATTTTACCGCTTGTTCATTAAATCGATCAAGAGATGTGTGCAATATAGCTGCCATTATATACCATTTGAATGGAATTTTAGAAAAGTGATCAATAGAAGGTTGATTATGGACGAAATCTTTCAGGATATTATGCAATTGACCACAATTTTTTTGACGTTGCAATAGCGTTTTTTTACTGTTATCTTTATCATTGCAGTTAAATATTATTTTTGATCTGTATATATGTCTAGAATAAGAAGGAAGCTTTTCATTAATACATTGACAAAATTCCTTAAATCTTCGTTGGCAGGCCTTTTCATCTCCTATTTTATCAGCGTGAGTTCCGATTAAAATAACTATAGGCCATGCGATATTTTCTGGAGCGCCAATAATTTTGTTCTCAGTTCGAACCTTACTTTTACTACTACCAATAATCGAGACGAGCCATTCTTGTATAGCCTCTAAGTATGTCATTTTGGTATCATTGCCACTTCGATCAACGACGTTTTTATCTATATCTTGGGACATATCAAGGACTAGAATGTAGATACAATTGCAAGATATAAATGGTTGATGAGTTATATGATAGATAGATTGACCAGCAAAATCCCATAGTTTACCATAATGATATTCATCTATCATGATATCTTTATTTAATTTGTAGCCCTCTCGAAAGTATTTCTCGAGAAAATCGAGAGGAATTGTTTCTTCATCTATCGGTACAGGCTGAGATGCGATATGATCAGCGTTATTTGCAGAGCTATGACTGTACACGTATGGTGGAAATTGCGATGCTAGTGTTGTTCGTGGGTTATCGCTGAAGGAAAAATCTGTAAATGGTCTCTCTTCTCGCATTTTACGTTTAACAGTTTCTATAGCTGCAACTACTTTTCTAGCTAGAACATCTATAAATTCATCGACCGTTTTATTATCTACGTTATATGTTAGCAATTTGACAAGTTTTTTCTCTACTACTGCAGCTGTTGTTGGTCCAATTTTACGAATCAAACCTTGTTGAGTGAAAGCTTGGATAAAACACGATTTTCCGACGTTTTGAGGACCGGTTATCATGAATCTAATGAAGTCATTGCGACAAAATCCTTCTCTTCTAGCTTTTGCATACGCTTCCTTATATTCTTTCTCTTGAGTAAACATAAAATTGAACGTTAAATAATAATTATTAATTCTTATTTCTAATGTATCGCGGAAATGCGTTAACGGATATTTTATTTGAAAATTATAATTATAAACTGCATGACTTGATAATATGGCTACAGTAATATTGCATGTCACAATATTTCATATGAAAACATGCTACTATTATCATATTTTTGCAGCTAATCTTAAGCCAGAGAGTATCATTACCACCTTAATAAAATACAGTTATTGCGAGAAATAAATCGTCACCTTTCAGTGCGGACGGCACATCTCGATAGCTGTTTTGGAGTCCATCCTTTTCTTTTTTATCTACTGCTAATATAGAAAATCAATGATTAGAATAATTGTTAACGTACATATTAGAAATATTCTATTATAATGGGAGCAATAGCGAATTGCTATTTGATATTCTTGTGTAGATGGTGGCTTGTTACCCATTTAGTAAGTATTTAATTAATTTTTCGTAGAGATTCTCATAATAATCAACTCTTTTTATCCAAAAAATTGTAGAACTTAAAGAGTAAAATCTCTAGTACGTCGCAACTTTACTATTTAAAACCCATCTAGATTTTTACATTGCTTAATTGCAGTGCTGATAAAACTACTATCGTTATTTGCAGTTAAAAATGTAAAGTAATAATGTATCTAACATTTCATGTAACAGAGTTCGCAAAAATATAGTATTCGTATGATTATGTTTATTCAAGTTTATAAATACTTGTATTCCTCAGAAATAAACGGATCTCACGCCATCAGCCGATTGTTAACAGGAAAATCATTCTCGAATTTCAGTGAAAGCGCAATTTAATCGCTATTTGAAAAGTAAGCACATTATTTCACATTTACTTTGCGCTGTGCTGTTAATGTTTTGTAGCATTTATTCTCGTATTTGATAGTACAGTTTACGTGTTTTTAAGTTGACGGAAATCATAGACTGTAATACACTTGCTTAAAACTACTCGTATCCTACAGTATAAAGGATTTAAATATCTAATAGTTATTAAAAATGCATACAATTAAGATTGAATGGAGTCAATAATCTGAACTCTAGGTACATCTTCCTAGGAGTATAATATAACCTGATAGACTATCGCGATCGTCCAGAGGGTAATTACTTTTTCCATTTGAAGAACTTTCTCCTATGGATAACTCAGCTTTAAATAGAGAAAATTGCAAAATTAATGTAGGAGCTACTAAATTACTCTTGATCAAAATTCGACAAACTTAATAACGTAACTCGACGTGCTTAATAAAGTGAAATTATTTTTTCGAATATGAAATACCTCCTATAGACTTTGGCATTTTCTTATTGTCGTCTTTAATTTGATTGTCCAGTTCACGTAGTCTCCTTTTCTCTACATTAGTAAGGTATAAAACTAATGTTATATTGAGGTTGTATTGCTTATCAATTCTTATAACACCTCACAGCTATCAAAGAATGGCAGTTCTTAAGAGAATTCACTGATACAGTAAATGAGTAAATCGGTCACTTTTAACGAATTCATGATAATAATATTTGTACTGTACATATGTTGCAAATTCGTATGTAGTGTGCTATGATTATAATCTACGTTAGAGAACGTGTTAAAGGTAAAATAATTTTTCATAGAAGAACCTTGATTGCTATTTATTCCTTCGACAATATCATATCTATCAATGTGTAGCAAAGCGTCTTCCAGATTGCTAAGAATATCACATGGATCATGTCTCTTTCCCCAGATGTTAAGTAATTCTAGCGCTTGATCAAATACATGTTGGTGCTGTGACTTGATGACTTCGACGTTAATAGAATGATCTAAGATTGCTGCCAATTTTGTCCAATCCATTCCAATCCTGTTTGCAATGTCGTAAAAATACAGCGTAGGATCTATATAGTGTATCCAACAGATTAATTTTAAACAAGAAGTAGCCGAAGAATGCTAACAGTTTAAAGTCAGAAGCCGTTATTAAAATGGAGTAATCATTTCCTTGAGCTACATTCGTAGTAGCAATGAATTAAAGAATACACTTAACAGTACTCTAACCCTAAAATCTATTTTGAATTACAATTAATTACATGCTTAATGAGGTAAAATTGTTTTCTTAAAATATGAAATACCTTCTGTAGACTTTGATGTCTTATTATTGCCTTCTTCAATTTGATTGTCAAGTTCACTTAGTGGCGGCGACTCTAGATTAGTATAGTATAAAACTTATATTACATTGATGTTGTAACAGCTAAAATATGTTTGATCTGTATGATTGTATGGCATAATGAGTGAATTGAATACTGTAGTTCATACTAATGTTATTATCTAAAAGTCAATTTAATTTAATTTGCTAATAATCATATAAGGATATAGGTATTATCAATATTTCAAGCTTTTAAAAATGCAGTAACAATATATCTGAAGTCTTACACAAAATGGCCAACAAAAGTGATAAATTCTACCTTATTTGATTTTTAAAAAATATTACTACTCGCCAAAATACTCTCAGCTATCAACGAATAACCGTGCATAAGAGCATTAGCTGATTCAGTGTATAAGCAAATCAGTCATTTTCAACAAAGCCTCCACATCAATATATGTATGTTACGTTTGTATATCTAGTGTGCCATGATTATAATCTACTAAACAAATCGTGTTAAAGATACAAGTAACTTGTCCTACAAGAACCTTGATTGCGGCTTATTTCATGGGCAATATCGAATCTACTAATGCGTCGTAAGCCATTTTTCAGTTCCTCAAAGGTGGAATACGTGTATGAGCCACGTTTCTGGTACCAGATATAGAGAAATGTCATCGCTTGATCAACTATGTTATAATTTTTTGCCTTAATTGCTTCAATGTCAATTAAAGGATCTAATATCGCTGCTAATTTTATCCAGTCCATGTCAATCTTGTTTGCAATTCTGAAAAAAACGGCTGTAGGATCTATAAAGCGCATAAAATACACCAATCTTAAACATGCGGTAGCAGAAAAATGCTAACAGTTTGCAGTTCGAATTATTAATTATTAATAGAATAATCAAGTTATTAAACGAAACAATCAATTCGATTAACTTTCCTAATCGTAACAACGTTGAATTTAAGAATCGATATTCAAGGTAAGGTTACGGACCTTCTATGCTATCCATTTTTGGTAAGCGGAGAGCTTGTTAATTTTATGCCTGAAACCTGAAATTCAGAATATGAATGAAAGCCGACTGCTATCATTTTAAGGATAAGTAATACATAGAAAGGAAGTAATGATGCTGATATAAATTATTGATACCTTCAGGAGGACTTATTTTTCTCGATTATTCTTTTTATGTGGATTATTCAATCGGATGCTTGCTATCCGTTCAAATTTTGTTTCTTTGGACAATCGTAGAAAATTAGTACCAATAGTTATTATATTTCGCGCTGAATCAAACGGTAACACCAAAACATTAATTATTATTTTATCTACTTATCTAATATTGATAACTTTTTTTATTAAAACAGTAGTGATATCGAAAAACTCTAGCTATTGCAATTATTCACTATCAAATTTAAAATCAATGATGCAGTTTAAAAGTTATCGTAGCTATTCCACATTCCATCTCTAATAGACTGAGAATTCAAAATTACAAGACGCTTTACAAGGCGCTTTACAAGACATGAACAAGATAAAAAATAGTACAACAGCAATGATCGCAGATTAATTGTAAAATTTCTGTACCGAAATTAGGTTAGCGTTGCTTTTTAAAAGTATACGCGTTAAAGTACGAACAGAATGCCAGTTCAAGACTACCGATAATTGTTAATGTTACAGTTATAACATCTCGATTATGATATTATAAGTAGGCGTCCTCATTTCTTATTAAGTCTCATTTTATTACATAAATGAGTGCTTTTGGATAATATTTTGCTGCAATAATGCTAATAATTTAATATAAAAAGGATGACAAATTGAGCAAGTATTGAATAATTATTAAGATGATCTTAGCATCGGTTAACGTACACGGTTCACATTTTACTTTGATTAATTCACATCCTACGCAACAAGTTATCTAAATTCGTTGCCTAGATCTTATGACATCAGGTAAATCCGATATATAGGCTAATTGAAGTCTAAACTTCAAAATTATATAATCTTAAAAGTTATTACCTCGTTAATTAGCGATGATTGCTACTTTGTCTAATACGAGAAAGAAGCTTTTTTTACTGTACAGAATCTTACAGCAAAAGTGTACTTCAAATGGGAAACCAAATGAGTTTCAGTTGATTCAAAAAGGTATTAATAGGAGTAAACTGAGTGACGTTTTCAAAATTTCCAAAACAAGCTATTAGGTAGTCATCCAAATTGTGTCAAATCTCTTTACTACGCTATAACTAGGTATAATCAAGCCTTTTATGTAGTCTTCTTTTTCGATCAGTATGCGTCGATGATCATGCCTTAACTGGTCTATTGCCGAATTTACCGCTCATAGCTAGCAATAACGGACTCAGTTGGAGTAATAGGCCACCCAAACATTAGTCAATCTTAGCGCATTTGGACAGTAGGATTAATCGAACATGTCTATATAACTGTAGTAGATTAATTATAATTATCTATTTTTTAGCGAATTACGTACTTTTACCACTGTCACATGACGCCCACAACGCGATAATGGTAATTAGCTAAAGAATCAAAAATCAATTTTATAAAATTACGTTGTAAAGTTCTATGTAGGCCAACTAGTTGGTTCCAACTGTAGATTAGCCCGAGCTGATCCTCTATAAATGGCCTCCTATGCAATTAGCGCTTTTTGGCTCTATAAAATGATTTCGTACCAGTTCATGACATGAGATAGACAAGTAAATAACCATTGTAGGTCACACTAAGATTCAATACGTGCTTCGAGTGTTCTAAACTGGCGCACAGGGTAGGCAGGCTTTCTACTAGACTGCAATTGTACATTTAGCGGCATTGATGATCATGACCGCGGCAAATGGCCTACTATTATACACTTTGCGCACTTTGACTATAAAGAATTCATTTGGCAGTGAAAGGAAACTCTTTCTGAAATGATATCCCAGCTAATGTGTGACTTATAAATGATCATTTTACTAGGATTTACTTAGCACTGTGAGAGTAATAAACTACCGCAAACGGGTAGGCAATCTCGATACATGTGTTTAGAAAGATTAATCAACTATTTATCAAAGTAGAGTATAGATATCTTTTTGGGCAGCGAATCATGTGATTTCTCTACGATCACATGATCTCATTTACATAATAAAAATGCCGCTTTAATAAGGTAAAATCAATCTTGCTGTTTGCTTTAATAGACTACGATGGAGATAACGTCAATACTAGATCCATCGATGTTTATAATCGGAAAAGTTGTGGTTCTCTTGGATTTACTATCATCCGATTGACAATAATTATCTGTTTAGCTTATACTAATGGTTTCAGATTTGTGGAGACTTTGCCAATAACGGTAAAAGTGTTGCAAATTAACCAATAGATCTATTTTCTTGAGGGATGCGTTGGCTCTTGTTAATGCCTTGTAAACGCTGTTTTCATTCTTGCAGTTGAAGAAGTGCTAAAGCAAGTGAATAGTGAAAAATGAGTAACTTTTTTCAAAAACTTGGAAAAATTGGGGCTGAAATTGACAAGTCAACTAGGCATTTTTTAAGGGATGCTGGAGATGAAATAGAGAGAGCATCTTCGCGCATAGGGGATGAACTCGCGAGAGTATCTACGCGGGTAAGACGTTCCTTGCGTCGGGGTCTTCAACGGAATCCTCAGAGGAAGAATTAGAAGAAATAAAGATTGAAAATAATGCAATCGAAGCTACTGCGGGGGCTGAATTTTCCAACACAGAATTATCTAATGACCCGAAAATGTCGGCAGACATTCCTACAACTGAAGCTACCAAATCAGGTACCAAAAATCCTGTAGTAGATAATTTAAAATGACTGTAAGATTTAAAGACTCTGGATAGGATAGAAGTGAGTTATGGAATTATTTCTCTAGATCAGCAACTAGAAAAATCTTTGACTATTAATGCATTACTTTCCAATGCGTTACCCCAAACTCTACCATATTTATAAGTACATCAGCTTTCAATTATAAATTGATTTTCGCAAATCATCGCCAAGATAGTCCTGACTAAACTGATTGTTAGATAAATCTATTCATAAATTTTGATTTTTTTAATCAACAAACTGCGGTACTATACAATCAGCTGTAATAAGTTCGAAATTATTTGATCGAATTAGTATTGTGCAAAACACTCCATCCTATGCTGCCTTTAATTACTATTTCTATAAGAATTAGTTGTTGCAGAAGCTACATGGACTGTTCAATCTTCAATGTAAATCATATAATTCGAAAGTAATTTTGAATAGAGTTCTATGGTTTAAAATGACAGCCATGTTCTGTTTTTGTTCGGTATATTGCCTATTAATAGATATTAAAGCGTGGTTTAACCTAATTAGTTTGACTAATTATAATAAAAATTTATTATATCATCATTGCATGTCATATACGTACTAGTTTTTGTAGCACCTTACAGCTATTTGTGGCACTTTACGTGGGCTGCTCTAATAAATATGTTATTGTGCCTAAATATTTCATAGAACAAGAGTACCATGAAGCTTACCACAAAGCAAAAAAGCATGGATTCTGTCGTAATGACTTCATCCGCTTTCTCATAACTGGTCCTCAAAATGTTGGCAAGTCATGCCTTATTCAAGCATTAATTTATCAAGGACAGATCAATAAGGTGGAAGCTACAACTGCCGCAGATATCATATCTGAACTACTAAATCTGATAACTTATAATATGGACGATAAGTCAATAAATGAATTTAAGAAAATCTTAGATAATAAAGTCAATACAGCGATAGAGACGGTTAGAATATTAGTCAAGAAACCATCAAACTCATTGAATTCTCAAGTCGATGACGATTCACAATCTACTACGGAATCGAAAGATGAATCTAATAGTGTAGTGATGATAGATAATACTCCAATTGAAGAAGAATTTCTGAATAAATCAGTTTCCTTAGATATTTTGGCAAAATATTTTCAACAAAATCGTAATTTACAGGCACAATTTCAGCCAGATTATTGCCGATATGCCAAATTGTGGGATTTCGCTGGCCATTCTATCTACCATGTAACTCATCAACCATTTCTATCTGATCATTGCATCTATATTTTGGTTTTAGACATGTCTCGAGACATTGATAGCTATGTCATTAATAGGGAAGGTCAAGAGCTAAACTTGACTTACCTTGATACATTACAAGAATGGCTAACTTCCATAATTTGTAGCCGTCGGGATCAATGTGTGACAAGAGCTTTAATTGATAACGCTTGGGAAGAAATTGCTTGGCCTGTCATTATTCTAGTAGGTACACATGCTGATAAAATAGGCGATGGACAGGCTTGCAAGCTACGATTTAGTGAATTTACTTGCAAGCTACGACAAGAATTTCCCGCTTATGCTAAAAATATATACGGTTCAGGGCTCATATTTAACTGTGATGATTTAGATAATACTACAGGTGTTATTGAGCAACGTCAACGTGATTGCTCTGTCTTACATAATATCATGAAACAATTTGTGATTAATTCTCCAATTATCGATAACTTTAGTAAAATTCCGATTCGATGGTATCCCATGGTAGCTCTATTGCATAATTTCTCCAACATTAAAGATGCAGAAAGTGCAAATGGAGACTATCAACAAGTAGAAGCGATTAGTAAAATCATATCGACTGAAGATGTACAACGATTAGCTGAAAAACATTATTTATGCGATAAAGATGAAGATATTCGAATGATGTTATCGTATCTACATGACATCGGTGAAATTGTATACTGTCGAAAAGGATCTGCTAAGGGCATGATTGTGACTCAAGTTGAATGGCTTTTGAATATTTTTCGTTCTATCATTCAACTACGTAAACCTCATACTAAAGGTTTAGCTACGACAGATGAATATGAAAAGGCGAGAAATACAGGCATTATGTCATTTTCTTACATCGACTTCCAACTGAATAAGCTTAACGTGGCAGAAGATGAGAAGAAATACATACTCGATCTAATGGAATCACACGATATGATTTGCAAAATCAACTCTAACAATCTTGATAGTACCAGCGAAAACGTCCAATATTATGTCCCCTATCTATTTCGCTGGATAAGTCAAGATATCGATTCGAGTCAATTTAAAACATCCAATTGGCTTTACATTGGATATGAACGTTGCCATATACCTTATATCCCAGATGGTATTTTATTTTGTCTCCTTATTTCATGCTTAAAAGAATGGAAAAACTGTATTATTGAGCCTGGATATAAGTGTGCTAAATATCGATTTAAAGATGATTATTACGATATTATTATTAAGAAAGTGAAATCATATATTGCTCTTCAATACCGTTATCGAGATCTGAGTGACAATCCCGAGTTACAAGAAGAAATTGAACAAAAGATGACAGAATCAATCCAAAAAAATAAACCTTACGAGTTTGTTCGACATAAAATAGAATTACTAATTGAAGAGAGAATGCCAACCTGCCACCCATTTCGAAGTCACTATTTCACAAGATGCCCTCACTGTCAGGCTTTCAATATGATTGAAAAAAGCTTAGAAAATAGTGGTAAAATATTTTGTGACTGTAACGAAATTTACGATCACGCATCTTCTCATGGATGGATAGCTGGTAGGGTAATAATTAGTACTACTAGTTAAAATCATATTATCTATTAGTTTATCAGACATGCAACAACTGTACCTTTGATGCTGTAATTATCTAGTATTGCATTTTAAGATTTTCACTAATTCAGCAGTATAGCCAATTGATCTCAATTTATTAATTATTACTTGTTTAATAGAATGTCTCTTACCATCATACAAATCACAGGTAGTAAAAAATAACATGAATAATAATTGACGTTTTCACTCTATTTTCCTACAATAACGCGATTCAATACTGATGATGATTTAAATTAGGCTTTAATTAAAGAAACACTTACGCTTCAGTAATGATAAGACTAAATCTAATAGGATAAATGACAGTCGATGATCCAATTAATCATTACGTAACGATATAAATAAACATTAAGATCTTCATTCTCGACATAATTCGATCACATGTATTATTTTAGCTTGTACATTGAATAAAACGAAAGTTTCAAGAAAACTGGCCAGGTTCAAATCGGATGATAATCTAAAAGAATCGAATCTAAATAACCTGTTACACAATGGTAAGTAATGAAATTGCTCTTCATCAATACCAAAATATCTTAAAACAGAGAGTTATCTTTGACATTTTAGCTGTAGTACTGTCGTTATTTGATATATTGTTTATAACTCATTGCCAACATGATTTCCTCGCATAGCAGAGCATAAATGAGAATGTTAATGCCTGTATTGTTGCTATCCTTTCTCACCCAGCAATGAAACCAATACTCATTAAAACCAAAATTCGTAATAATTGATGAAAGGTCGCATTAGCCGATACCAGTAGGATACGATAATGCACAGTTATAAGAGTAAAATCCAAAAGCAATAATCTTTTACAATTTAAAGTAGTAAAACACATTTAGACTTGATTGCAATTATGATGTGAAAGCTACCTGATGTAATCGTTAGTGATATTTTAGCTGCTTCAGTAAAGTAATTTACATGTATATTCAGGCACAAATTACGCTCAAGTAATGCAATAAATTTCGCATTTCAGAGAGTAAAAGAAATCAGTGCTTTATCACTATTGCTGATAATATGAACGGAAAAAAGTTGAAAGAATTTGGCTGGAGATTAGGTTTATCTTCTATAGATGTAGGAGACATTGTTGATAGCAATGAAGAAAGATTTGCAAAGTGCATGAAATTGCTGGAAGCATGGCATCTTAAATTTGCGTCAAAAGGGAATAAGGATAGTTTATTGGAGGCCTTAAATAGTTGTAAACTTGCTAATATAAGTGATAGACTTATCAAGATATTTACTATCGATGATAAAAATTAAATTCAATCTCTTTTGAAAGCACTCTAGGCTGCAGTATTATACTGTCACAAAACAGCTTTGCAACAAGATAACGCAATATACGATCAATAAGTCAATTCATTGAACCACGTATCAAGGAACGATATCTGCACTATCACGAACACTTTTGCTCTACTAGCAGACTACACAAAGACTTAAACGCCTCGTATTTTTCGTTAAACACTAAGTTGGAGAAATTCTTCTTTATTTCACGATATACTACATTTATATACTATTCCTCAATAGTGCATGAGTCATAGTTAATACAATTAACATTGGAATCATTTACTGAATTAGATATTAATTATAGCTACTGCTCCCTTAATGCAGACAACAGTATTTACAAACATAGACATGTAATGACTAATACAGAATAGCCAGATTACGATATGTCCTATCACGGAACATTTCCATGATAATTTACAGTCTACCATAAGTAAATTACAATCACAATGATTCGAACTGTAAGCAAATGATTTGCATTCCCTATTATAACTATTAATTTCAGTATGTGTATAAGTGTCACTGTCATAAAAAGTCAGTGCTATATTAAAACACAGTATATCCAAATTATAAGTTAACTAAATAAGGATAGTCTAACAGAATTATCCTAACATAGATATTTCTACTGTAATACAGTATTTAACACTGTAACATATGCTTACGTCGTTATTAAAGTGAATACTAAAATTAAAATGGCAAAAACCAATGCCTTTGTCTACCTTATTATTGATATTTTATACAGGATGTTGAAGTCCAAAATGCAGTATTTTTATTTATTTACCGATGTGGTCGTTATATAGGCTGATGAAATCCATGGAAAGCTACGAAATTTGAAGCTTATTTTTTTACAAGAATGATTAGTTATAGACTTGTTTTAACAAACACTATTTTTATTGAGAAATTTCTTTACTATTGATGCCGCTTTTATGCAGAGAAATAAAAATTATACTAATGGTAATATTGGGCATTTGATTAGATACTAAGATGCAATAATTTCCATTTATCTTAAATTATGCGAAGATAAGCATTGGTAAATGATTATGGCTATCGGATTAGTTACGCATGTTAGTATTTTGGGAGATATTTCTATGTATATTTTTATTGAAATATTTCTTTACTATTGACGCTGCTTTTATGCAGAGAAATAAAAATTATGCTAACGATAATAATATTGGTCATTTAATTCGATACTAAGATGCAATAATTTGCATTTATCATAAATTATGCAAAGATACGCATTGGTAAATGGTTATACCTATCGGATTAGTTACGCGTATTTATATTTTTTGAGATGCTTCTATGTATATATATCGCTGATAATACAAATTCAATTAAAGTAATCGGATTTGGTCGAAAGTTATATTTATCTCATAATGATGTTGACGATATAGCCAATTCGAATGGTACCAGATTTGATAAGTTTATTTATCTTTTGGAGGAATGGCACTCTCAATTTGCCTCCACAAAGCAACGTTTGATATATTATTAGAAACTTTGTATTCTAGTACTGAAGTAGTAGTAGCTGAGAAGTTGAAGAAGAAATACCCTATATCAAGTAGAAGTGGAGCTAAGACACGATTTACGAGTACTGTATTGTATTTTAGGATAATTATCCACAATATCTAAGCCTAATATTTTCAATATGGAAGACGTATATAAGTATTACATGATACAACTACATCCTACCTCGCACTCGGTTTTTAGTCGCATTAATACCACACATACGAATCTGATATTTCAAATAATGATTGAATTTAGCTAAAACCGATTGTTACGCATTCTAGAAAACACGAAGTTAGGTAGCCAATGTACTACTGTAGATAGTTCGACATAGCATATAAGCTATACAAATAAATAAATCAACTAAGCTTATAGATTGTATTCTTTAACCACAGTAATTAATAAATGAACTATTTGATTGAGTAAATTTAGAAAATATACCGGTAACTAATTTTATAGATGAAGTATTTAGCATTACAGTTTTTACCAAACTAATCTGCTAATAATGCTACCTTTAGTGTAGTTAAACACTTATTGCGACAATTATTATGAGTTATTGATACAATCAGTTAGGTGATGAAAGCAATAAATATCATTATTAGTATCAGGCAAGAAATTTCTTGGCTAATATCGATTCTAAATTTAAGGTACTATCTGATCTAGGAATTTCCTTTTTGTCTCGGTGCATATAATAAATTTTCTAGTTAATAATTCGCTATACTGTAATCTGTATAATGTCATCTACAATCTTCGTAATACATAACTTGGCATTATTCATATGAAACACGCTTCCTGTTAACAAGAGCAGATATTACCTATCAGCCACAAGCAATCATCGATCAACCAAAGAGAAAACACCGTAAGTTATTTATCGCTGTAAATGAAAGCCTAATCAACAAATCATTACAAAAACTTGTAATGTGACAATTTTATACTTGCAAACAGTAACAAATCTGTCCTACCAACTCTACTCACGATATTAAAATTAAACATTTCTTAACATCGAACTTAATTTTGGGTTTATACCATAACTATGGACTGTCATTTGTGCATATACACTGTTCTATTTATTTGACTCACAGCATCTCTTAGGTATAAAACTTTATTGATAAAATCAATAAATGTAGTGGTATGATAAATATTGAATTGAATTAATTTATCAAGCTATGAATTTTTGTGATTAATTTATGTTTATTACATTGAAATATGGTTTTTGATATTGCCTGCTATAATCATTTAAAACTTTACCGCTACTTAATCACTGCATCCTAAATTTGTAATCAATTTAATATCGCTATAAATCTATCTCTCTGATAAATATTCTCTTCGTAAGTAGCTACGTAGTAACTAAATTACCAGTGGTATGTGTTATTTAGGGCGAAAATTGAAAAACTCTGAAGATATTAAAAAAGACACAGGTAATTACAACTATAGGCACATTTTAATGCTATTATGGTTTCATCACAATTTTAAGGATATTATTTATCCTTCTATGGTCGTTAAAATTTAATTATTATAAGGATTTGTCAAACTTTACTTAAAGTTATGTTTATACAAGATATTTAGCTGTACAGATATTGTAACATGAGATAAAGACATTCCAACCGGTGATTGTCACTTATAGTGATTAGCTAATAAAGTCATAATGTACATAAAACTATCAAAAATTGAACTTCACTGCGTGGTGATGACTATTATTGTATTATTAATGTAGCTTTTCACTTAGTATATAAGATCAAATCTTACCGATACGTGAATTTTAATATAAGTCAAACACAGTAACATTTCACCTACAAATAATCAAAGCTAAATTGGCGCCTTTTGACTAAGCATAATCGATTAATTAGTTGTTTTTAACAATTAGTGTTGCTTACAAATGTTTTCTAGACATTTATATTATTCTTCTAAAAGCAAGTCTCATAATAACATATTAAGTTGCAAGGCATAAATTTAAATCTAAGAGCGTCACTGCGTTGCGACACAAGTATATGAGGAAAAGCAATCGAATAATTGCTCGGTTTCTTGGTAATCTATATGCTATTTTTCATTTTTGCCTCCAGTAAGGCTCGATAATGAGTAATGTAAAGATCGTCTTGGATTCGCATTCCATACATGCAAATGTAATAAAACCTGTTCTACTAGCTGTACTTAGACTGCAAAGAATAAAAAGAATTTTATAATATCAATAGTTGGTAATTTCAGATTATTACGTACAGTTTTCGTATTTTATTAAGTACAGCTTTTTTCGAAACTTGAGGTCTATAGAGTACGATGCGCTTACTGAATAGAAATTGCTATCATTTATTTTTCAATTAATTTATAGGCAAAGAATTTTCTTTGCTAATATCGATATTACATTGCACAACTACGACATTCATTTAAAACGTAATTTAGTTACATTACTTCGCAGTATATGATGAATTCGATATGAAGCCATTTCTTTGCTTCACCTTTTATTTGTAAGCAGCCATTAATAATCATTAATTTAACAATTGTGAATCTTATTCAAATCAAAAGGGGTTGATTTTGAAGACACTCGAAAAGACACAGGTACTTCTATTTAAAGAAACAATTTGATATTTTCCGGAATTCTTTGTAATTTTATAAACAAATTTTATTTTGTAATTTTATAGATTGTAAAATGTCATTCTTCGTAACGTGGCTTTATAATATTTTGTGCTGTATATTAAGATGTCTATGTTATATTTTGTGCTGCTTGTGAAATCTTGCGTTCAAATGGGAAACTTGGAGATGTTTATGGTATATGACAGTCTCGATAGTGTTATTTTACTATATAGTGCGATATATAGTCTATATTTTAGTTATTTTTTATATACTAATTATAACATTTTTTTTATATGTATATTACAAGATAAGGCATAATTAACAAAGCCATGGCTAGTAATATGGAATATGTATATCAAATGACTAAACTTGATAAATTTAACAGTTACACGAGTGCATAATGATCACAATTTATTACTTACAGTAGGAATCACTGAAGTTATAATATACTAGAATAAATTATATATTGCACTGTAGCTATGATCTAACAGATTGCATCGACATGCGACAAGTGGCTATAAAGCATCCGCAGCTAAAATTTTTGAATCTCTAAGATGCGCTTTAAATGGTGTATATTATCTTACATTGACTACAGTATTTTAAAATCGGATTTGAGACCTTCAATAAAATACTTCTGGCATTTATTAATCATTCATGACCACCCCCGTGTAGATTGTTACATGAAATGTTCTTTTTAGCTTAAGCCCATTCGTGATTTGTCGTTCCTAACGAAACAAATTACTGCTTGTATTTCCATTCTTTAATTGCTCTTTGTGATGTGCCTACTTAAAAAATTGATTTGAAGCCAGATGTTTGTGAAAGTAACAATATCGAATCGCCTTATAAGCAAGCCGTGTATCCTTTCCATAAATTGATGAAAAATTTTAAAAAATAAAGGTCCAGTGTAGCTTTAGCTATTTCCTGTTGATAGTTTCAAATAGAACTATAAAAATGCTTGTAAATGGATGCAATTAAAAGGTAATAAATTGTGAGCAATTTAATCTAGCTCTTTCACCAAGAAGGCACTCGATGCAGTAAACTGCGGATATTGGCGATAAATAAATTCCGAAATTATTCAAATACATCAGAAAGCTGATCATAAAAGCTTAAAGATAAGCTTATAATTATATAATCAATGATCGTATTTTCACCCTTCCATATGATTGTTGCAATAACTATAGCGAGACTATTTCTGCTATTTAAATGTTCCTGCAAGCAATATTTTGCTGGTGATTTGAAAAGTATCGTAGCTCAAGCATTACTGGAAGGTGTTGGCCATTGCGTTGCTATGGAGCTACATATTTCCGTATCTCGTAGAGTCTACGCTACGATCACATGATTGAATTTATATCACCTAGGTTAGGGTTCTAATGATTTGAGATACTTGATGGAATAGTTTACCAATCGTAGGGTAGGACTACTTTAAGAGAACCTTTTCTTTAGTAGTCCTAGGTCTGGACAAGGACTACTAAAAAGAAAGAGACGAGGCAGGAAACAACCACGTAGTAAAATAATGTGGAGGCTTATCATTATTTTCGTCATTATACTATACGCTACCGATGAAGCCGTATACCATAGTGTAGTAGTTTCAGCTAATTACAGTAGTAATTGAAGTAAGGTAGTATTAATAAGTAGAATAGTTTACTATACTATAATCTTGTGTCACGTTATTAGAGATTTGTTAAATTTCAATAACTCAGATTTTTGAGTTCGACGATTGCGAACCTAAGGGGTTGCAAAACCCAAGCACTGCATATAGTGAACAAAACCAACTTAGCAGGCTAATAGCAGCTAATTTGCATACCAATCACTGGCAGTATAGTGTGCCGTTACAGACATGTGATACACTTAAAATAACTATTAAAATAATGTCCCTTCTCTTTCTTCTAATAATCTTTAGTCTGGGCTAGGGTTCAACATTTGGCTCGATTCGTCTAATTCGACATTCAGTACTATTCGATCCGATTCGAGAGTTTGCACACTGTCTAGGCTCCTAATATCGGTATCGAAACGGCCGAATTACAGGAAATCAGCGGCTGATTTGCTTAATTTGTATTTTAATCAAGATAGAAATTATCCTTGTTGTTGTCCGTTAACTGTCCTAAAATTTCAAGATAGTTGTAATCGATATTAAACTGCGATTATGGATCAAGAGCAACGTCAAGCTATCCTCGATCATTGGCATACACTAGCCGAATCGATGCCCAGTAATGATATGACAAATAGTCTAATTACAGAAGGAATACTCTCGCCAAATGATTTACAGGAAATTAATGCCAAAGAAACTGAAAACAAGAAGAATACTACCATTTTGACTAAAATTTTAGCCTCAGTATCGCCTGATTGCTATGCCATCTTTATTGATGCTTTGAGACAGATTCCCAATAAGAACAGCCGATTAGCAGACATGATTGAAAGCCGTTTTAAGAAACAAGCTTCCGCTGATTATAGAAGCGACGCTAGTAAATCGAAGAATTTATCAAGTGCTCATAAACGACAAACAGTAGATCAGTTAGGTAAGGAAATAAAGTAGTAACGGCAGTTTTTCTCATTGTAAAGCGATTAAATTACTCAATTAGTGTGTTAATATGAAAGTATAACTTATAAAAATTCGAGCCTAGTCTCATTGCAGGACTAGTTACTATAGATAAGTACATTAGAACCAGCGCTATTAAAATTGAACATTTCTTTACTTCGAACTTAATTTTGGGGTTATACCGTAACCATGGACTACCATTTGTGCATATGAACGCATATACACTGTTTTATTTGTTTGACTCACCGGCATCCATTAGATATAAAATTGATTGATTTCATCGATAAAGATAGTGGTAGTAGGCATTGTAACCTGTAACTGACGATTATGAAACAACTGTAATATTTTAAATCAGTTTTAAGGAACAAATTTCGCTTTTCGCTGTATTTAAAATCATCAGCACTCTAAATCGGCCAATGAATCTCGTTGAACTTAAGATTCGTAATTCTGCTACGGTTTCAATAGAATTTGTTAATTACTCGTGTAAATGGCACCGTGCATGCAGTAAATATGACTGATCTCTCTAGCTATCCCTAATATACTGTACGGATACATTAACATTGAGCTATAGATACTACCTATTTCCGCTAATTAGATTAAAACTCAGCTATAGCTTTATTAATTGACTTAGAAAAATAATGAAATCGAAGGCTACTATCAATATTAAAACTTTAAAACATGTACCAGAAGCACCAGTTTACATCAAATAGATTTTGCGCAATTTTTGTTAACCGTTACCTCTTAATAAGTATGAAAATTTCTAGCATTTGCGTGAGTAACAGGAAATTAATCATAAATGAATAAGATTATCCCAAATAATTACGGATCCCCGACTACCCACACCTATAGCATACAGCGCTTATCTTAAATACGATCGTTTGTAATTAAAATTAACGCAAAAGAGAAACAGGTAAAGCTTTTGTCAAATTTGTAACTTTTCTCGAACTCAAACACTTAATTAATATTTTAGATAAGCTACCGAAAAAATGCTCAAGATCAATGACTCAAGAGCATCGTAAAATGTTAATAGACAAACGTATATTACTTACTCAAAAATGTCAGGATCAAATCTTACCGATATATGAATATTTACTTGGAACGAATGTAATAACATCATACCATAAACAAACAATCGAATCTAAATCGACGGCTTTTGAGTAAGGAATTTTTATACAGTACATGTTCAATAACTGTTAATCAATATTCTATTCTAATATACAATGTCAAGCTAAATTACTAGTTTGCTTATTTACTGCAAGAATGAATTTTGTAGTTAGAGAGCAGTTATCGTAATTGTTAAATTTTTTTTAACAGAAAAGTTTGCACTTTATTGGATATTCTGCCTGAACGTGGCGATAGAGCCTTTGATGAGTTTTGCAAAGCTTTAACAAATTTTAAAATAACCGTAGAAAACTTCAATACTGGTAAGCATTAAAGTTTACGAATAGGCCTAACGATTAAAACTGAACGATATGATACATGATTATCCTATTTTCTGATAGAAATAACAATAAAGTGATCAGAGTAGAAAATAGTACGATAACTACGTAATGAATTTAGATTTTCAATTAATAGTTTCATTATACTCAACTAAATCAATAGTTGGTAATTTCAGATTATTACGTACAGTTTTCGTAATTTAGTAAGTACAGCTTTTTTCGAAACTTGAGCTCTATAGAGTACGATGCGCTTACTGAATAGAAATTGCTATCATTTATTTTTCAATTAATTTATCAGGCAAACAATTATCTTTGCTAATATCGATATTACATTGCACAACTACGACATTCATTTAAAACGTAATTTAGTTACATTACTTCGCAGTATATGATGAATTCGATATGAAGCCATTTCTTTGCTTCACCTTTTATTTGTAAGCAGCCATTAATAATCATTAATTTAACAATTGTGAATCTTATTCAAATCAAAAGGGGTTGATTTTGAAGACACTCGAAAAGACACAGGTACTTCTATTTAAAGAAACAATTTGATATTTTCCGGAATTCTTTGTAATTTTATAAACATAACAGTGCTTATTTTACGGTAAGCTCGATAATATTCAGCTATAATAGGGTCTCTTATAGTCAAAATAGAGGAACCAAATAGAAATATATAATATTCTAAATCTGTTTCTTTAGCAAGAGAATAGTCATTAAATTTATGAAAAGACCATGCCTTTCTAAATCACTTACGATTGAAAGATATTCACATCATTACTTCATCAAATTGAATTAGAAGTGAATAAAAAAATTTTTATCTATACTAATATATATACCTTACGAATTAGAAAGGGATAGATTGAAATTCAGTGCAAAGAATTACTGTTTGCTGATAGAATTTACTTATCTATTTTAGACAAGATTTCAATTGTAGAGTCTAAAAATTGAGCTAGTGAATTACATGCCTTGATTGTTATGACCACAATTACTTGTAATATAGTCGACATTGAATCAAAAAGTGAAAATTGATAGTATGAAGATGTTGTTTCTATAATGCTTTATCGTTATGAATTTTTGTTGATGATAGTGGTTGATTTTATGCAAATATAATAATGAAAGAATTATCATTTTTAGATATTACCCGGTACATAGTCAGCACTAGATCAGAAATGGCAAACCGACAGAAACAAGGTATTCAGTAATTATTCACAAAAGCAGAATATTATAGAAGTAAGAGAATGCTAGTTATTATACTTATGATGATATGAAGATTATAAAATTTGTTAAGTTTAGATGTTACTCAGCAAGGATCTGACAGTGGATTAATACATGCAAACCAGCAGGATGAAGATGGTATGTAGTAGCTACTAGTAAAGAATGTAATAAAGGAATTTTGTAGATACTAGCCATTGACTTGGAACCTATGTGATGCAATTTACAATATCTAGATATTTCTCAATACTTTTTTGATGTGGCGGAACATCTGGAAGAGGACTGGATTAACTTAAAATTAAAATTAGATAATGCTGGAAAAATTGAAATCAAGAACATTCAAGACAAATATAAGAAAAATTATGATCAGGCCTATGAATTTTTAGAGCAATGGTTAATAATTTATGGCGAAAATGCAACAAAAAAGCGATTAATCGGAGCATTGAAAGCCATACAAAGAAAAGATATAGCAGATAAAATAAAATAAGTTCTTGATTCGTTGTCCTTTACAATATTGAAACAGTCTCGCATAAAGTTTTTTACAGAATCTCACAGAAGCTCATTATATAATCTCTATCTATTTTATTTTGATATTATATATTTCATTGTACGTAGTACGCTTCAAGAGCTCTTACGGTATCTGAAACTATTCTCTTTATAAAGATGATAGTACTAGATTGCACCTAAATATTGACTAATACAATCTCAATTATCGTTAATAACATGTAGAATTTCTACGTAAGAAAAGCAGTAATCGTTCTTCTTGGATAAAGAATAACTTATCCGATATTGGTTAACTAGCTAGGATATTAGAGATATCAGTAGTTATGATCACCCTTAAACTTAGTAGATCACATTTGTTGCAGACGAAAGTATATATTGGTCAAGAGCTCCATGTACTTTGTAAACAAATCAATTTGAGATGAAATTGTGTATGATGAGCAGTATCGAAACATAGTTAAAGCTATTTTATTACGCGCATAGTCATTAAATCGTCAAATAAACTAAAAAATTTTCGAATACAGAATTAGGACAATTTACCGCATTATTTCTTGTATTAACATGCTGCATGAAGCATTTTCTCTCAAAAAGAGTGCTTTGTGCAGAATTAATAATTTAAATTTCTTATATCGTTATATTAGAAACCAGATATATAATACTATTACATAATAGAATTTATTTCCAATTATCTACTATAATTGCTAGTAATCAAGTTCACATAGTATGCTTTTTGAAGTAAGCATAGAATTAAAATCTTAGCTTATACCTAAGTAATGAACTATAGTACTGAAAAATTTAGTTACTAACTTGTTCTTTTACTTCAGAATATAATTGTTAATAAATAAGGAGTCCACACATTTATCTGTAGAAGCAGTTACTGTATCTATATCTCGTGGATCTCTCGTAGACCAACCAGAAAACAATCTTGCTAACGAAAACAACTGTTGAGAACTTCCCTGTAATTATCCGATCATTATCTTCTACGAAATACTATTAAATATCAGCCTTTCTGTACTATAGCAACAAAGAATTTTATGGTCTTACAAATGAATACAAGAACAATATTATTTATGCTCAATTTTCAATTATATCAAATTTTTACAAATTCGATCTAAATAAACAACTATAGAGGAAAAAATGTTATGAATTCCGAGAAAACTGATAATAGTAAAACAAAAAACAAATATCATCATTCAGTCATATAACAACAAGTTCATGATTCTTTATGTCTATTTAATCTTCTATGTATTTAATTAGTAACGATTAGCAATTTTAATAAATGTAACTGTGGCTGATTAATTTGCTACATCTATTATCTACTTTCATGGATAGAACTCAAACTAGCAAAATCACCAATTAAAAAAATCCCTGTAGTTTAGCAAGAAGAAGAAAACTAAAAGCTAAATAACGTCCTACATAATAGCACTGAAAGTACTTTAGCTCATGCCAACACTTGCCTAATAATCTTCACTTTCCACAGTAGATTCTAAATAATTAGTCATTTTAAAGTTTAATCTTCTGTTATACGGTATTCAAATCTAAATATCGGCATTGATAGAATGCAATTTTTTCAATTACATTAGGAAGGATTACATCTTTCTTTAATTTAAGACCGGTTATGCTAACTCTAGAATATAGAATGTATTTTGAGAGAACTTCAAGCGCAAAAAATCCGGTCGCCATAAATATTTTACACACGCGAATATAAATTAAAATTTAAAATTGACTGTAATATCATACCCAAATTCTTACTAGATTTATGCAGTCTGTGTCTTATAAATAAAAATATAATTTAAATGGAAAATAGTTCTAGAAAATAGACAGATTGCAGCTATCGTACCACATAAATTTTCTAAATGGCATAACAGTAGTTAATTGATAGAGCGAGTCACTTTAAATTTTCAAGATATACTTTATCTACAAAGGGCGATCATTACAGCGATTGTAGAAATTTTATCTTCCCATAGGTTCTATTGAATATGTAACAATTTATCAATAGCTTGTTAAAATAAAGCCTTGCGCTTTTGAAAGCAAATAATCAAACATAGTACAATTAATTGATTTCGATTAATCTGAAATATAAACATAGTCTAGGCAGATATCGTCCGTATGCAAATATATTTTATCGACAATCACATCAAATCGAAATAGTATCCGTAGAGAATGCGTCTATAATTATACTTAAGCTATTCTACTTAGGTACTGAGGTTGATTTTATAACATGCAATACAAGTTGCTAATTACCTATCGATTGAACTGAGTTTACCGCCATAATTTACATTTATTCAAGAAATTACTCATTTTTGGCATAGTGCATCATTAAGGTTGAGTGAGAAATTTCACCCAATGTCTTTACCAACGTATCATTTATCCGTTAGTATAATTTGAGACTTTTATACTATTATTGAGTAAACAATTTTATTTACACGATTCTCCAGCTAATGCCTGTGCTGAGTCCCGCGAATGGAGAGTATTAGCCTATAATTACATGAAATGGAAAATAAAATCCTAACATATCGACTTATCCTCGTCCATCGAATCCACGTATATCACATTGATAATATAATTAATGGTACAGTATAGTCCTTGACCTGTACAAGATGAGAATTTACAGCTCCGTAAAAAACAAAGTAATCATCTTGCAATGATCTGGCAAATTACAGCACAATATTAAGTTGAAATATCACAAAAACGAATGGAGAATCTGCTTGACGAAGATCATTAATGATACGTTATAGTTTCATCATCTAGACAACATAGGAACTTACAGCTTTGTAAGAATTAAAGTAATCTTGAAACGATTCTACAAATTGCAGCACAACATTAAGTTGAAATACCACCGAAACGAATAGAGTAAAACATCTAGCATCACTTAGATTATGATAATTGTACAAAATTTAAATACCGATCAACTGCGGTGTCCTGTCTTTACTATATCAAACACGTTCACAGGGAAGGCTAACATATACGAAAAACATGACAATTAAAGTCATCTGAAATATTTGTGATTACCAATGTTTTCTAAAATTGAAACGTTATACCGATGGAATGTACTTTCATCATCAATTCCATGGCCAATCGTACTAATGATTGATCAGCAAAGATATTTATGAAAGACTTTTAAGCTACACCACTTGAGCCTTCAATATATCGCTATTAATATAATCGTTCGAAATGGGCTATCCTAATTCTTCTTGGAAGAGAGGTAATTGTGGTACTGACTTTACAAAATGGATATACAGTACAGTAAGCATATCGCTCCATCTCATTGACTGGAATAGAGTAGTGTCATGGTTGAAGTTGTTGCTATTGCTAATAATTAACTACTCATATTAATCTGCGAGACAAGTCTTGCATTGCTTAATTGATCTAATCTCTCAGCAATGGCTCCCAAACCTGCTGATATCAAAGCATTCATGAGGAAGCCAACATAAGCATTTTGTGGTTGAGTTTCTTTCCAATAATGAAGCATTGCAAAGCAACGTTGATCTGTAGTAGTTTGATCCACTTCTATTTTTTTCAAATCCTCAAACTCTAGATTTAATTGAATTCCAACATCCTTCCAATCAGTTCCAATGCTTCCGTAAATATCTCTAAAAAAGCATTTCACTGAAGTACAATTAATTTGCAGTTAAAATAATGCCCTTAATAACGTTATAATCCATGTAATATGAGAATGTTTGATTAAGATAAAAGGTAATGGAAGAGATGTTTATCTCATTGGATACAGACAAGATTAGTAAATAGTGAGGTAGATACACTTAAGTGTAGTCTTTCATCATGGTAAGCCTCTTAACAACGACTAACAGCACGTTCTACTTTTAAAATAGAGTATAGCAAGAATTGTCTTTTATCGCATACAGACGAGACTAGTTAAGAGTTATGTGTAGTCCTTAATTGTGGTAAGCCTGCAAACACCAAGTCACTATTCAAAAATAGAGTACTCGTATAACAAGAATTGTCTTGTATAGCATACAGACAAGACTAGCCCAGAGTTATATGTAGTCCTTGATTATGGTAAGCCTACAAACACCAAGTTACTACTCAAAAATAGAGAACTCGTATAACAAAAATTGTCTTTTATCGCATGCAGACAAGACTAGCCAAGAGTTATGTGTAGTCCTTGATTGTGGTAAGCCTACAAACACCAAGTAACTACTCAAAAATAGAGTATAACAAGAATTGTCTTCTATCGCATATAGACTTATGTGTAGTCCTTGATTGTGGTAAGCCTACTAACGCCAAGTAACTACTTAAAAGTAGAGCACAGAAAGATTTACTGGATTGCCATCTGTAGCCTGCAGACAAAACTCGTCAAGGGTGGTAGATAGTTATGTGCAATCCTTCATTCTTGAAGCCTATGAACGACTACTTATAGCATGGAACTACTTTTAAAAACAGAGTAGAACAAGATTTACCGGGTTGTCTGCTATCGTATACAGACAAGACTAGTTTAGAGTGAGGTAGACAGAGTTGTAGGTAGAGATTTATTGTGGTAAGTCTATCAACACCAAGTAATTACTTAAAAAATAGACTACAGAAGCATTTACCGGATTGTTATCTGTAGCGTAAAGACAAGAGTCACAAGACTCATTAGAGAGGTAGTTAGAGTTATGTTTAGTCCTCGATGATTGTAAGCCTATTAGCGACTACGATCAGCATGGAACTACTTCAAAAATAGAGTACAGTAAACTTTACCGGATTGTCGAAGATGCGAAGCCGTATTCTCTTGATAGTCGAAATCTTCATCACCACTTTCTTCAGACTCTTCTATAACAGCCATATAGAAGACAGGAGTAAGTTAGAAATAGAGCAAAGACATCGTATTACAACTATTATGGTGTGAATAATAAATGCTTTGGTTCAAAGTTTGAAGGAGACAACAAAGTGATTCCATTATTCACTGCAGTCATCTTCTTTTCAACTGTTGGGGTAAACTATACCATTTTGAATTTGAATTTTTTTACGTATTATTCTGCCACCACA